ACAAGATGCAGCTCGGAATTAAGGAAAGTTTTGATCTACCGGCTTCCTGTGTTTGTCCAAGACTATGCTACGATAACAGAGATTGGATTGATACCCAAATTAGTATATTTCCCAATATGTCATGTATTTCCTTTAAATACTTTTAAAGGCAGAGAAGCCCAAAGAGAGTTCATATTTGCATTTTGTTTAAGATTCCTAAATGAATGGTCTGAATGCCTCAGGCAGTCTCCTTATTTACATTTCTAGAAATTCCCTTGTGTCCTTTTGTTCTACTCCTGCCTTCCTCTCTCTTTGTCCGAGTGTCTGTCTTATCTAGCTGCTTGTACTTTTCATCTTAACACAAACTGACAGTCGACTCCACTCCTGACTTTCACCCGTCCACCCTGCTTGCTGCAGCCTCAGTTCCCAGAATGAACTCGAACGTCTGGACGTCAGACTTCTGAAGGGACTGTTGAAAAGCGCTGAAAACGTGAACGATGTCCATGAGCTCACTGGTTTGTATAAAAGAGCCCGCACACCAAACCGCCTGCCAGGGGAAACAGAGCTGGGAGGCAGGTGAGACAGGGAGGCATTGTTTGGGCCCCCTTACAGGTGAGACTCCTCACAGTCTGCAGCAACAGACCTCTCTTCAGATGGATCAGGGACACTCTCCAAGAACATTAAGAGGGCTTGGCGTGAAGTTGGCACCACACAGACTAAAAGCTTGGTCAGGAGGAAATGGTATTGATGGACTACTGGTGTTATTACAAGGTTTATGGCTTTAGCAAAATTAAGTGAGGAAATCTGTAATTTTGTAAATGTTTTTCCTCAGCAACACCAAGGGTCACATGTGACATTGTCCAAAATCTTTAAGTAATTTAAAGAAATAAAGTAGAATAAGTAAATAGGAAGGTCAATCAAGGTTGTTAAGTCCAATATCATCAAACAAAGACAAAGACAAAACAGAACCACTGAAAGGGAGCAGATAAAACTGTGGATTTAATCCAAGTAGCACTTTCTTCTCCAGAGAAAACAGAGAGGGCAGAGAAATAAACAGTAAGATTGAAAAACAGACGCTGAGGGTGCGGAGATTGAGAGATAAAGGGAAACAGTGTGCATGATGTCAGGTCGCTGTTTTAGTGCTGCAAACTGGCTGCAGATGGCGGAATGAGAGGTCAGGGATGGAAATGAACAAATTCAGAGCAGCAGCTGAGCGGAGATGAGGGGCTCTGACCGGGACGAGGGTTAGCGTTGAGCCGGCAGACAGATTTTTAAACGGCAATTAGAAGTTCCTCCAGCTTCTAGCTCAGAGCCACGGCGACAGCCTGACCCCTAATCATCCTCAATTTCATTCAGGTTTGAGACGTGTCTCCTCGGATTGGCTGTTTATTTTTCACAGCGCTTCCTGTTTGATTGAGCACCACGGGCTGTATGTCTTTGTGGATAACAGGGAGGGCAAAGGTCAGGTGCACACTTACCACACATGTTAAATCATCCAGCACCACAAGCAGTCAATCTTCTTTAACGTATCTTAAATGTATCTCCGTTATTAACATTCCTAAAACAGCATAGGGCCATTTGTATTTGTATACCCCTGCAATTATTTATTTTTTTAACCTAAATGACAGCTAGCAGATTTATCAACTGTAGGCTATAGCTGGTAGGCTAATTAGCTTAAACTGGTTGGTTCCCTTTATAGCAAAACCATGCAGTCTATCATGCTAAAAGACAGAGCAACATTACGTCTGGCCGTTGCTTCATTTGAGACCGTTAAATTGTTTTTTTCAATTTGTGATGATTCACCCAAAACAGACAATGCACCGACTGTATATATGTTAGCTGTAAGCTAGCTAGCTTGTGTGCCTGTCTGTTCAGTTTGTTGACTAAATGAAATGTGTACGTTTCTGTAATTGATTGATCATTTCTTGCCATTGATTTTTAGCTCTGTTTCAAGTCTGCCCTTTGTGTTATCTTAAGACATTAAAGCTGCATCTCCTATACCTCAAAGTGCTGGGGAAAAGTCCTAATTGTATCTGTAACCCCAGAAAAATAGCTAATAGGAGTATACTGCTTGTTCATAGAAGTTACACTACAGCTCCATGTACCTCATGTTGACATGTTAAACTGCCAAAGCTTGGTGTGCTGTGTCTCGTTATAGTTGTTAAGGTAAGGGCTTTTCAATGGAGAGGATAGCCTTTGGGAAGAAAACATTTGACCATAGTTGCTGAATTCATCCCGAACTCATAGCTGACTTATTTCCTTCAGTTTAAACCTCGACATGCTTTGCTTTTTTCAAAGAACCAGATACAATAACTACTATAGTTTGTTTTTTTGGATTGAGTTTCCTTGTTTTTTTTGTAAATGGAATACTATTTACCATTGTAACATGTAATTGAGTTGATGTTTGAAGGTTTTACTCAATTAATCTTTCTGGTTCCTACCCAGGAAATACATTTTAGTTAAACTAACCGTGAAACTTCAGATTGATGTCCAATGGCTGTGTAAGAGAGAGGAGGAACTTTCTCTGGTTCTTCGAAGACGCATCTCGACACACGTGGACGACAGATCTGACATGTTGAACTTCTGAACTGAGCGCAGCCATCACGGTAACCTACTTTTCTCCTATCAGTTCCACCCATTCCTACAGGGAATTTATACACTTCCCCCACCTCTAACCCTGATGTGCCTCCACAGGTCACCTCAGTAATGAGCCATGTGGTCCCCTCTGGCGCTCACTAATCAGGGATCCAAGGCCGTCCCATCCTCGGTCCGACGCCGCCGCTGCATCAACACACTCTGAACCCGGAGAGGTTGTCTCTCTGCCATCTGGCCCCCATGCCTGGCCCTGTCTCCACTCTGCCGGCGATTTATGCCCTCCTGAGGTGTTTTGCCTTTTAACTTGCACATAATTGGCCCCCAGATGCAGAAAAAGATGTGGAGGCCAGTTTTTATTAGTTGCCAAGCAGAGGTCATTGTTTTTGCATTGCTCCGACTCTTCAGCGCTGCCAAGGTTAAAAAGACACGCTTTATGTTGAACCAATTACTGAAAGAAATAAGGAGTCCATACAAAGTCATACATAAATGACGGTAATGCTGGAATTTAGAGCTGAATGAACCCAGTGTGTGATGATGTGTGCTAAATGACAGTGGTGAAGGAAGCAGTAAAAATCTAATCATATGAACTCAGCCCTTTTCTACAAAGTCCTGAAATACCTTCTGTCTTGTTTCATGTCCGTAGGCTCCTCCTCCGTGACTTACTCACCAGACATGATACGTCTGCTGTTAATTTGTATGAGTTAATAGGCGATATTCACAAGAAAAGCACATGACATGGCAGGCATAAGAACCTTCAAAAGTCTGATTGAAAGTCAGACATCACTTTAAAGCGTAACCATACCGAGTAATAAATGGTGACCCCTAATGTAATGTTGGGACTGACAATAGCAGAGTGTTCTAACCACTGAAACATGGTACAAAGGCTATAGCTAAAACATGCAAGGTATTCAGGGAAGATATGTTCTGTGTTTTGACTTGTATTGAGCCTTCAAACTCATGAATCTATTCCTTAAACCATTTGGCCTTCATGGATTGTTTTTCATCTTCTCTGCTTTTCTTGAAGTCAGCCTGATGCCCTGATTTTGTAGACTTGCTAGACATTTGGGAATAAAAAATTAACATATTAAAGTCATGCGGATGGATAGATGGGTTAAGATAAAAAGTATTTATAATTAAATATCTAAGGAGAAAACTTTCTGCTTAATTTATTGTTTTTGGTTGATTCTAGTTTATTTTCATATCTGTATACCAATCAGCTGATTCGCAAAAGGGGACCTAGTATAATAAACCACACTCTGAACACAGGGTGTGTGTAGCCCTCCTTTTGCCCTCCTTTGCAGTACAACCACTTAAATGTCATGCTGCTTTCACATGAAGCACTTCTTTAATTAACCTTTCACCCCTCTGACACACGGGCAGTCACTCTACAAGAAAAGAGCTAGACGGGGCAATGGATGAGAAATTAAGCGGAAAATTGGCGGAAAATGAAATGAACACCATGAATTATGTGCAGTCTTTTTGCATCAGTATCTTTAGGAAATTTGTGTAGCCTACTGATTAGGAAATTCCGAGGTTGGAATTTAATAAGTAACCTTATCATTCTACTTCACTACATCTCAGAGGGAAATATAGTAAATGTTACTTGACTTCATTTATCTGATAGCTTTAGTTACTTTTCAATTTAAGATGTTTGCAGACAAACCTGCTGTTATTCCTTTGAATATTGTTTATGATTGGAATTTATTTGTAATAATATTGAGGCTTGTACTGTTGGTTGGAGAAAACAAACATTGTGAAGGCATTACTTTGGGCCCATGGTAATTGGGACACCCAAACCCAATAATCAATCAATTAATTGAAAATAATGAGCTGATGAATGAAAATGATTGATAATTAATTGTTCAAAATGACCCCCATTTCAACCAATTACCAAAGTAACATATCTTACATTAATGCATGAGTATCCTAATGATAATAATCAAATGATATGACATATAATAGTTTAACAGCAACAGGGTGCATGTTTCTACTTAATACAACATTTTCATGATGACATACTTGTATTAAAGCAACATTCTCAATGAATAACGTTTACGTGTGTACTGTATGCTACTTTTAGGATATGAATACTTCTATCGTCCGCCATTGACATAAAACCTAAAGCACATAAATACCAAATTAATTTATTCAAGGTAACTTTTAAAGGAGATGTATGGAGCTAGTATGTAGCACACCATAAATATGCCCTTCGTATTATAATCTACAAATGTACCTTTACGTCTTAAGGTGCATACAAAATCTAGAATAATATGTTATGTGTAATAAAGATTGTATATGATGATAGCATTGTGTATTGTTTTATTTAAGTTCACATTACGCGAGTGTTTATTTTCTTTTTATTCAGGCGACATCTGTAACTTCAACGGGTCTTCTTTTGGGTCCTTAACGTGGCATTAATAAACAAATATGGCGGCGAGGTTTTGAGCTTCACAGTTGATCCGTCTTTTGGAAGTTTAAAATGACTATTCCAGGTCAATAAGCAGAATATTTACTTCATGCATAATTATTGCTGTATTGCCTGCAGTATTTTCGGCGTGAAGCTGTAAAATGAGCGGCTGGGCCGGCTTTTCTGACGAGGAGTTACGGAAGATGCAGCCGAAAGGTGACATATCTTCCTGCTAATTATAGCCTTGGAAGTTAGCTACTGACTCTAGCTTCCCCACTTGTTGACATGTTTTGAAATAAAAACGTTACATTAAGTCTAAATCATTTAGTGTGAAAATTTTTCTGCTGCATGTGTTTCCAGACGCGATGGCCGCTGCGGCTGCCCGGGGACGAAAGCCGGCTCCAGCCAACCGGAGTCGACAGCAGATACAGCGGGAGAAGGCTCTTCAGATGGCCGCTCAAAAAAACGGGTCTCCTTGTCTCCCACCGGAGCAACAACTCACCAAACCGCCGCCGAGGGAAGAGCCTGAACCTCAGCCCACAGCCCCTGGCAGCAGCTCCGGCTGTCAGACAGGAGGTGCAGCCTAAACCAAGCGAGATAAAGCCGGCTCCAGAAGAGGAGATCCCGGCCGTCAAAGAGCTGGAGAAACAAGAGGTGGCACTGTTAGTATGTTTTCATTATTGTACCTACTGCTGGGATTTCACTACATTTGGTTGACAATTTAGTTTCCAGATAACAGTTTTTCCATCCCTTTCCTGTCCAGTGAAAACCATTTATCTACAGATATGTTGCTTTTAAATGTTTGTGATTAATTATACAACTTCTTAAGCCTAATATACAAGTTAAAAAGCCTCTTGGATCAGCTGTAAGTGCATTGTCACAAAGCTGAAAACAGGGCTGTTTTTCTAACCTTATTTTTTTATGAGATAATTGGTTCTTACAGGACATTGACAAAGCTACAAACATATGATGCTTTAGAATATGATGCATATGCATTGATGAAGATTAAACTACCCAACGATATTAAAGGAGTTTAAATTAGAACACTATACACTTTACATCAGTAAAATGCAACGTGCACTTTAAGGCAGCAGTAATATTGATACTGATAGGATCATTATACAGCACAATGACTCCTATTTTTTCTAATCACTACTTATGTGTAAGTTACTTATATGTTTTGGGGTTTCTACTGATGCTTTAAACTTGATGTATCTACGTTGTTTTTGAATAACCACCAATTTAACCTTTCTGCTGGATTCGAGGCAACTTTTGTTTACTTTGCATCAAGCTGCCTTTGCATACTTGTTTTGAACTATTTCTGCCAAAGGAGACCCAAACCTCCTTTCATGCTGTGGATTTAGTTTTTGTTGGGCATTTAAAAAATATAAATGCATTTTGGTGTGTTCATTTCTCTGTGTTTGATTACAGACGGGAACAAACACGTCTGGAGCATCTGCAGCAAGAGCAAAAGCTAATCGAAGAGAGGAATAAGCGCAAGAAAGCTCTGCTGACAAAAACTATCGCTGAGAAGTAAGTCTGGATATCTTGTGGCACTGTAGTGTGCAACCTGTTTTCATGAAATTAAGCCCAACATTAAGGCCAAATGAAGAAATATAAGTTTTTTGTATCTTCCACAGGTCCAAACAGACTCAGGCAGAGGCTGTGAAGCTGAAGAGGATCCAGAAGGAGCTCCAGGACCCTCGATGACATGGTTTCCAATGATATCGGCATCCTAAGAAGCCGGATAGAACAGGCCAGCTGGGAGTTCTCCGGTGCCAGGTAGAGAGAGACATCTTGTGATAATAACCAACTCTAGAAACTAAGCTAAGGTTGTGCACATGACAACAGCTACAGACTCAGGCTCAGGAATCCAAATCAGAAAAATCGCCAAATCTTCCCTGGCTGTAGGCTCCTATAGAGTCGTGAAGGAATGAGTCATAACACCTCGAATTGAGTTGGCATATGTCGGTAAGATGCCTGAAATAAGTTCTGTAGTTAATACAAGATCAATACATTTTCATATGTTCTATGACATACAATGCGTCAGTAAATACCCCACTCATCTGTCCAAAGCTTCTATGTAGCATCATAACAGCGATTGCTTACCATTGACCAAATGAGACTACTAAACGTCATCACAATGAACACTAGTCCGCCTTTAGTTTAGCAGCGGTGACGCAAAATCACATGAGTGATGGAGTTTGTTCATAGCCTCATGTTAGCATTTTTTACTTCTGCTGATTGCATTTAGGTTTAAAAAAAGAAGGCAGTGGTGTTAATATGTGGAGATTATCCTGCTGAACAAAACATGCAAGTATCATAAATGTTCTGCCATTCTGCCACGGATGTTATTTTCTATAATTTACTGAAATCTCTACTTTACTAATTTACTGAAATGGCCCTTGCAATGCTAACTACAAAAATATGTAGTCACTGCAACACTTCATACAAGCCCTTATTCAAGTGTTAGAGAGATTTAGACCCCGTTTACACGAGGACGAAGCGGGTTGTATCCGCATAGTTTCTCTTGCGTATAGCCCTTTCGTTCACACGAGGCCGTAACAAAACGATAGAAACGGACCCCGCAAACGATAACGAGTCAAGTTGGATAGAGCTGCAAACGGAACGCTCTGGGGGGGCAAACGGCTCCGTGTAATCGCCTGTATACGATCATTTTCTGATAACGATGAAATAGCCCCGCCTCCCTCTCCCCACGTCTCCTTCTCCCCACGTCTCCTTCTCCCCACGTCTCCCTCTCCCCACGTCTCCCTCTCCCCACGTCTCCCTCTCCCCATGTCTCCTGCTCAGAGATCAGCTGCTGGGCTGTCAGAAGAGGGGGAGGAAAAGAGAGGCTCCGTTTATTATTCTTATATTATTATATAGAGTTGTTATCAATTTGTTTTAAAGCTCAATAAATAACAAAGAAGACCTCTGACCGGCACTTTTCTAATTTTGTCCGGAAGATTTCAACTTTAACGGACATGTTGACCGGCGGACAAAAATGTTAACGGAAACTCTGCCGCACGGTTCCCTCGTCCCCTGGAAGAGGCGGAGAGGTGGGTGTTTTTCATCTGCTGGTGGACTAACAGGAGAGATTTACAGCAGGAGAACACGCCGTCCACCGCGGAAAATAAACAGAAGGGCAACCATGCTTCTTCGCTGCTTTTGGTGTATTTTGTGGCGGCAGCAGCGCCACCAACGGTGTTTCAGGGCCGGTTCGGAGCTGGAGCTTGAAAAGCACAGTTTTTTTCCTGTTCACACCGCAGCGGAGCAGCCTCTTAGCTCTGGAATCCGGTTCGTTTCAAGCACCAACATTTTTTCCGGCTAGAGCAAAAGCACCACATACGTCACGCTTACGTCGAGGCGGGGGCAGAGACAGATCAACTCCTGAACAACAACAAAAGCCGGCGTTTTATCCAGCTTGTACACAACGATGGAGAAACTTAACAAGCAGCAGTGGTCCACTGAAGAGACTAGCTACCTGGGAATCTGGTCTTCCGAAGAGGTGCAGAGGAAGCTGGAGCACAATCGGCCATTGTTGTTGTTGTCGGTGTGAGCTGTGAGGGGTTTCCGCGCGGTTTGGCTATATGAAGCAGGCACGCAAACGGTTACGTCATGACGCAAACGATGACGCAATGACGCAGCACCAGTCGGACACCGAAGAACCGGTTCTGAACCGAATGCGTGTGAACCGAAAATGCATACGGTGTGTAAACGTTCCCGTGTAAATGGGGTCTTAGGCCCCGGCCACACGAGGACGAAAACGGCTAAACGCATAGGATTAACGCAAACGCAATCGCAAACAAGCTTCCGTCCACACGCAATAGTTATCCGGATAGTGTCTGCCCACACGAGACAGCTCCGTTTAGCTCCAACTGCTGGAGAAGCTGCAGTACATATGCAGGAGCCTGTACGTGGCGCTGTAACTTCCTCCACAAAAGCATCGAAGAAGCATGGTTGTCATGGTTGCCCTTCTGTTTATTCTCCGCGGTGGGGGCCGAGGGAACCGGGCAGAGTTTTTCGCCAGTCAACGTGTATTAAAGTTGAAATCTTCCAGACAAAATTATAAAAGTGCCGGTCAAAGGTCTTCTTTGTTATTTATTGAGCTTTAAAACAAATGAATAACGACTCTATATAATATAATAATAAAATACACGGAGCCTCTCTTTTTCCTCCCTCTCTTTGGACAGTGCCAGTGTCTGTCTCATGCAGCAGCTGATCCAGTAATAAGTGACACGGCCGACAGTAAAAATAAACATATCTATAACTAGTTTAGGTAGTTTGAGAGGTAATTAAAATAGCTAAGGGTGATGATCTGACTTGAAGTGTGTGTTTTGCTCCGTTCACCGCCGCATCACAGCGGAAGGAGCTGCAGGTGAGCAGAGCTGCGTGTCTCCGTCCTGTCAGATTAGACTTCACTCGCGTTTAGGTCCATATCGAGAGAAAGCTAAATAATCTGAATTCAGTGTGCAGTTTAATTTGACGCGGGGGTGAGCAGCAGAGGTGGGGAGAGGCGGGGCTATTTGCCTCATCATTATCAGAAAATGATCGTATAGGGCGTACACACGGAGCCGTTGGACCCCCCCAGAGCGTTGCGTATGCCGTTCTATCCACCTTGGGACCCGTTATCGTTTCCGCAGTCGTTTAGTGCCGTATTCGGTCGTCCTCGTGTGGCCGAATGGTCTATATGACACTAAACAGTAACGCAAACGACCGTTTTCGTCCTCGTGTGGCCGGGGGCCTTAGAAACAGGCATCTATCAAACTTCTTTAGTGTTTCAATTTGAGCCAAGAAAAGGGGGCAGCTCTATATGTAAAGTACTTACAATCCCAATGGCCCATTCACACTGTGATAGTGGCGCTCTTGCAGAATCATTGCATGTTAATTAGATGAGTCTCATAAAATGTTACCTTCTTTTTGTGGATGTCAAACGTTGGGGCAAATGGCTGGATTAATGTAGCACAGTATGCAGAATAAAATGCAGACAGACACATCATCAACTCACTATATTAATCTGCTGTCATATTTAAAAACATGTTTAAATGTGCTCAAACCTCAGATTCAAAACAACCGGCTCTGAATGCAACAAAATGTGTGTATTCTGCAAGATTTCAGGTTGTACTCTGATTGCTTGGGAGCTGCTGCAACATTTTGAAGCAAGCTGTCTTTAGTCTGTAACGCTCTAAATCAATTGGTTGACATGTCTGTTATGACCTGGCTCAAAAGGCCACAACCATATCAATGGTTAATAAAATATGTTTATTTAAGCAAACAATTCAAATTAATTAAAGTGCAAAGTAAGTAAAGCATGAGGTGTGGACGTCAGTGGTATCAGTAGTGTAAATGCAGGGTGAGGGTCGCATGGACATGTATGTGTGAGGGGGTTGAGGTGCACAAAGTAAAGCAACTGATGTAACTAATAGCATACTCAACAGAGCCGGGTGCCTGTAGGAAAAAGCAGAGAGGCTTTAAGTAGCTGCAGGGCACCAGACCCATGTGCCCTGAGTTACTGCAATCAAGGCTGGACACAGCACAGCCACACCCTCTCCAGATGAACCCACAGGGGCATCACATGTCTCATAGTGACACCTACTGTAGGACCAGTGTTTTGGATACATAATCAAAGCTTTCACTGTTTCTCTCACTATTCTGAACTCTCCTCAAGGACAGACCAGCATCACAGAGTGTAGGCTTGAGTAGCCATAAAGAGAGCTGACACCCTGCCACTGTTGAATTTCATTTGCAAACTTTTATTGAGGAAGCGACAACTCTACTTATTAAGTTTACTTCAACATGATGAAACATATGAGGTTTTGGGGTTTGCTAAAACACACTTCAACATGTGGACAGATGAGATGTCATACAACTGCCACCAAGTTCTCAGGATTTGTTTTCTTCTAAACACCATATTTTACAGAGATTTGAATTAAAAAAAAATTGCATATAATAAACTGGACTTTCACTGTTAATGCTGCCCCCTGCAGATGGATTCCAGTATTCCTGTATTCTTCCAACGCTTGTTATCCACATGTTCTCAAACACTGAAAAACAGCAGACTCTGATCCGATGATCTCGAGAGCCAACACACAGAGACTAATGAAACAGGATTAGAACTAAAACCCTGAATAAAAAGCTAAATGTAACCAACATAATTAGTTATTTTACTCTTCTTGATCAGTGCGGCCTAAAAACTTTCGCTGCAGTCACAGAATGTGTAAAGTGTGATTTAAAATATTGTTTGTTTTTTCTTCCAGCAATTACCCAGAGCCGCTTTGTTTGACCTTGTAGCCGTGATTTCCTCATTCAGTCTCTTGTGTAGCCAGATTAGCGCAAAGTCATGAAACGCTCTTCATTACGGATGTTTGTATAATGGGAAGAGGACCTGACCTTCACACAGTCATCTCACTGGATTGTGTTAGGATTATGTTGATACAATCAATTGTGTAGATTTCGCTGAGGTACAACATAAACCCCCCCTCCGAGGAGAAATATTTGACATCATCTGTTTTAGTTACTGCAGCGTGTCCAAACTGCATGTGACGTCCTGTTCCTCGCAATTAAATAGTTTCTGCATTCAGAGATCGTTGGAGGAATCATGCGGGTTTGTGCCAATACAATACCATAGTTTTATAAAGATCTTCTCTACATAACATATTTTGACATTTCACAAAACAAAAGGCTCTCAAATGTTAGAATTGGAAAATTCTGAATCTGATCAGTCCAACTAAGTTGCTTAACATATCATCAATAAAAAATGCAATCTATACTTCAAAGAATATTGTTTGAAGCTGATGAGCTGTTTCTACAACAAACAGTCCAAAATGTAAATATATATTCAATGTGAAAAGGGATCTAAAACAGAAGAAAGAAATCGGACAAGAAGCTGGAACCAAAGTATACTAGACATTTGTTTTCCTGTTCAAACTAATCGGTTAAATGATCATATCACCAAATTCTCAAATGTTTTTTTCCCAACACTACTTAGCCATGTCCTTAATATGTTTGCTGAATATTTTCTCTCAAAAATATAGGAATCCTCGCTTTATTTCTGTCCATCTTTTACACTCACGTGGTTAAGTTTTCACATAAAGAAAGCATTAAGAGGTGACATGATGAGCACTGACAAACTGGAGCTCCTCTTAGGGATTGATACAAGTCTTACGTTTTACATTTGAATTCATTGTATGTAAAAGATAAATATGATGGACAATGCATCATTTAAATAAAAAGTTGTGCAGCCTTGTTCTATTTAACATTTCCTTTCCATGTTCCCTCAGAAAGCGCTATGAGAAGGCGGAGGTGGAGTACGTGCAGAGCAAGCTGGACCTGCACAAGAAGACGGAGGTGAAGGAGCAGCTGACGGAGCACCTCTGCGCCATCATCCAGCAGAACGAGCTGCGCAAGGCCCACAAGCTGGAGGAGCTGATGCAGCAGCTGCACCTTCAGACCACCGAGGAAGAGCTGGAGAAGCAGAGAGAGGAGGAGAGAGGAGGCTGTGTGGAGACGCAGAAAAAAACAAAACAAGAAAACGGCTCGCTGGAGAAACAGGAGGGAACAGTGCGATCGAGTGAGGACTGTAAACCCACAGAGGAGGAGGAGGAGAACGGAGGTGACGTCCAGCAGGAGCACCACCCGATGACTGAACCACCAAAGACCGAACAAGACTGGAAAAAACTGGAAAACGGTTTTCAGAGTGAACTTGTGGCCTCCTGATGCCAAAGAGACAGACAATAGTGGGACTATTGCACAAACTGCACTGTAGGCATTCATTTAAAAACACTACCACCTTTTCCACTGTATGCTAGATGTGGAACGCAATGATGTATCATCCAGACCAACAGTTCTCCCAAAAATGACACTTTTACGCTACTAAATATTAGTGCGAAATACGTTTTGGTTCCTCATAGGGAGGCGCTCGGGGGGAATGGAACAGGGCTTCTGTCCTGCATCCGTTGTCTTTATGGCTTGGGTTTTGGTTATTACATTTTGAAAAATTAAGCACATCCTTTTTCAGTTATTCACCAAGATGACATTTTTATAGCAGCTTCACATTTTGTCATATTTATCCCATATGGGCTAAAACAGTGAATCAGCAATCACACATACTGTAATGTGGGCAGTCTTGCACGTCCATCAAAAGGCTTTTGTTGTTGCAGATTAGCAGCGTTTTACTACATCAAACAGCTGCTCAGATTAATAATCATGTGTACTGATGTTTTGATCATATAGTTACTGTTTTTAGTCGGCGTCTAATGGATTAGTAAAATATTTGCCAATTATTTTAATAATTGTAAAAATGGCAGAAACAACTATTGCGTACCAATTATTGAGATGTCCTGCTTTTCTTTTATTTATATCATATTTATGTGAATAGTTTTGGATTGACGGAACAAGACATTTAAAGACCTTTGAGGAACTGGGATAGATATTCTTCATCATTTTCTGACATTTTATTTACCAAACTAATAATCAGAAGTTGTTTACGCCTATTTCTTTCATGGCTTGTATTTAGGCAACACTTGTGAACTTGGAAGTCTTTTGTGGGGTAAATGATAGAACATTTCAAAGGGCCCTCAGTGTGTGTACCTGCAGGGCCAGACAGAATCATATTCAGCTGCTGAGTCATTTGGAGTATCTTGCAACCATTATCCTCAGTCGGTTTGCTTTTTACGTCTTCCAAAAGAAAGAAATCTCTTCTTCCAAACATGTGGTTTTACATCTCTGTGAGCACAGGTTGTACTCCGAAGTTCTTGGTCGTTGTGGGCGACAGTGAAAGATGGGTCCCGTTTACTTCCTGGAGAGTCTCAGTTTCACGCCGATGGGAAGGAGGTATGAATCCATTTGTATTCCTTCTGTCTCATGTGTTGTAGATGAACATGTTAGGCCGGCGCGGGCTCGTGTTTCACAAAGCTAATTCTGGTCTTGTCAGTGCAGTGGAGGAGCAGCGGGCCTCCTGAAGGGTAAGATGATATCTGCTAATGTATGTACAGATGCTTTCAGCTGCATGGGATTCTGCAGTTTACTTTCTCTGGCTGCACAATGTGTCGAACATAATATATATGATAACAATCTGATGTTAAACTTCAAATATGTGGGCCTGAGCGCCTGATTGTAAGCATTTAAAGTGATGGGGTAAATATTTTAAAAAGGTGATATTTTACTAAAATAAATTCTTTAAAACAAAGTGTGTTTTTCTTGTATTTTGTGCTCATTTTAGATAATGACTTATCAGGACTGAAGCTCCTGGAAGGAATTTAACACGGGGAGCACTTTGGGACTCTCATCGCTTTTGCAAGTGGTTTTTGAAAGTGCAGTAAGTGTTTCTGTAAAGCGCTTTGAGATTTTACAGCGCTCCGGTCACATCTGGCCGTCTGAAGGGAGAGGCAGTAAAAGCAGCCTTTTTAATTAGTCGGGAGGTAGAAGCTCGGAGAGGGAGAGTGACCACCGTCCTGTCTGTCCCAGCCCCAAGGTCAACGTTTGAAGTCCCCCGCAGCAGATTTGGGATCAGGTTCAGCCAAATTATAATCAGATAAATAGGACTGAATGATGTCATACCAAAACACACTGTAGGAATGTAATGACATAGATTTACTTGGTCAATTTTGAGTTACTTTAGTGTTTCCTTTTATACTACATTAGCCACACGTCTTCTCCACTAGATTTACTTGCAGATTTAAACTCTTCTCAATAATGATGATGCTTTAATGTCCTGATGCTAGCAGCAATACATCCATACCAAGAGATTGAAGTCCTCAATTTAAGCTTTCCCTTAAAAGATACTTGTTTTAAACATTTTTTCTCTTTATTTTTTTCATGAAAAGCAAGTTATAGACTTTTCATTACTTGATAAAGTTGGATTCCATCAGTAATACACATTTTAAAATGCCTCTTGATGCATCAATAATAGTAATAATAAAAAAGAGAATATAATTCATAAATCGAAACAAAGAATAAAAACGTTTTATGCACAATGGCCCTTTTCAGATTGTTAAGTGCTCTGCTGTTGAGTAACATTTGTATATGTGTTTAGTAGATGCACAACACAAACACAAACGAAGCTTCTTTACATTTTGATTTTCACATGATCCTATACCCACTGCTTCATTTTAAAATGGGAATAATGATAATTGTCAGAACTCCTTTGAGGGGGGGCCTTTTGAAAAGAAAGTGTGCTCTGGATTATGACAAGAGAAAAATGAAAAGATACAGGCTGCTGATATTAGGGCATCCAGCCGGGCTCCAAATTGCAGAAATGGCTTATAGAAATACATTTCCATTGGGGAGAAGTGTGTTTCTGTGCGTGTGTGTGTGTTGGGCCGGACTTCAGAGAGCGGAGGGTTTATAAAGTAAAGTGTGATTTATGTGGCGCTGGCGTCCCCCGACAGGTCGAGAGAGACTCTGAAACCCGAGAAGTTCGAGAGCCATAGAAAAAAAAAACCCAAATCAAGTTTTCCTGAAAACCTCAACCATCTGGAGCCTTCACCTTTATATCAACTGAACTCTGAACCCACTGTCGGTACAGCATGAAGACACAGAAAAACAGTGACAATAAATACTATAAGGAGGCGGCCCACTATCGGGAAGTAGTCCCATGCCCCTTTTATTTGTTATGGCAATCAACACAATCTACATTTAGCTGCTCTATTATTAACATGCTAATTTCTACGTTTGATTTAAACCTTCACTGTTGTAGCCGAATTAAGGATACATCCCATTAAAAACCCATCGATGTTTTCAATATACATTATTTTGCGCAGTGATATGAAAATTGGACTCTTTCTAAGTAAAAATAGAGGAAGTTTAACCTAATTTGGCTTAGTGACACTTAAATATAGGCTATAATTGTAACAAATTCGATACATATGCGAATTAATGTGTATTATGAGAGGAAAACAAACTAAAATATATATCAATAATTAAGAAACATTTGTGGTTTGGAAAATATTTGTTCATTAATTTATATTTAAAACGAACCAAACTCTCAAATAAATGAACCCACTAATGAACTGATTGTGTATTTTGGTTAAATCTTTGCGGTGTTAAACGGGTTTTTTTTCGCGGGCTTTGGGGTTTTGTAATAATGAGAGAGAGTTCGGCTGAATTAATTTCACACGGCCTTGCTGTGTAAACCCTCCGTGTTGTTTTAATCAGGAGCAGATTGGCTGTTTTATGTCGGGACGCCACAGACCGTTTACAGTTTCAGCAGGGCAGCGCGAGCCGCCTGCAACAATGGAAACAACAGCAGAACAAAACGTGTCGTAAAATATAAAGAGGGGACACAGATAGCTCGTATAAGTAGGGCTACGTTTACTCACAATTAAACGCAATTACTGGCGGTGTAGTATTTATATATTTTTTGCTAGGCTACACCACATTTATCTGACAGCTGGAGTTCATTTGCAGATCATATCATAACAAAGCAGTTTTTTCAACAAAAAAACGTTTTCTGGTTTATTTCAGCTCGATCCCATAGATGCATTGATCTCTGGCATAATGTGGAGAGTTGTATTTCTGTCAGGCCATGAGCACGTGATCCGTCAGCCTAATTGGATGCGCGGGAATAGATAAAGGTTGTTTTTAAGCGCAGGTAAAATATCAATTATTTTACGGGTTTTTACCTTAATTTGGGGGATTTATTTGTTTTATTAACACATTCGTCAATTATTTTTGCAATTATAAAATCTAATTTGACAAGGCACTAAGTGGAATTAAATTAAGAACCTTTGCCTTTACCTTTTTTTCGTTGAAAATGTGAATCGGAATCCGCTTCATTACCACATAGATTTAGACATACTGAATTTCTTCTATATATTAAAGATAATTCAGGGTAGGTTAAGGTAGCCTGTAAGATAAGAGATAATGGAGGAGGGACATTTACAACAGCAATCGTAAATAAAGAAAAAAATAATTAACAAAACTAGTCTACAGTACATTACCTTACCAATATTACCCAAGTGACATAGCAGACTTAGGTAAAAGTAGCAATAGCATACAATATATAAAAAACACCCATTACATAGTTCTGCATCCAAAGCATACTTAGTGCAAAATCAGCAAAAATGTACATTTAAACATTAAAAGTAAACATATGTATTATGCACAATAGACATTTCCCGTTTTTTTTCATTCCTGTGTCCTTCATATTTTCATATACTTTGTATAGCCTATAGTTCAAAGTAAAACAATCTAATGAACATAAACAACTAATCACATGTTCTGTGTGTAAAATCTGCAAATCTTACTACAAATGTGATAGTTTCCCTCTAAAAGGGGAGGACATTTAAGTATTAAGTGGCGTAAAATAAATACTCAAGAAGAAGTGGCCCCCGAATACCCAAGTGCCTACTTTGATTAGGCCTTAATGAATGTAGTAATATTCCACCACGAGGCAGCAAATCTAAACATAACTTTACATTGGTGTTATTATTTCAGTTATTATTACTTTTTTATTTTTCATTACCCTATATTCTGGAAATGTAATATGTGTGAATGCAGGATGGTTAAAGGAATTATCTTTTTTTTTACAATTCCAATGATTGTTAATTACATGATATAAGTTGTTTTGTTTGTTCAGGTGTGTTGTGTTTATGTGTGGATCCGAGGTAGAATAGCCAATGCTCACAGTACTAATGGGGATCCTTATAAAGACATACAAATATCCTTTATATGATGTGAAAAGTAAGGGATGTGAGTACTTCCTGCGTGTTTAACAAAACCGGCCAGCTAACATTTGTTCTGCTGCATTGTTATGTGACCCAGCTCCAGCGCCTCTGGATCTGTAATCAGCTCAGAGTGTGTGAGTGGGATCTGCTGAGAGGAGTCCCGGTGCAGCTCTGCAATCAGCCAGCAGCCAGGGGAGCGTGTCTGCAACATGTGCTCCTGCACAGGATGTGGAGAGTCAACAAGGAGGCCATTTACTCCCAATTAGGGAAATAAAACAGGACAGGGGCCAAAGCGCTGCTCCAATCAGCACCAGGGGTCAGTGGACAGCGGCGGCGGCAGGGTGGCGACATCCTCACCTTCATCACCTTCAACATCATCGTCCTCCTCAGCCCGGGGCCAGACCTGCACTGAGAGACTGAGTTGATGCAGGACCAGCTGAGAAAGGAAGCACATTAACACCATGAAGGTATGTTATTTCACTTTGATTGACAGGTCTGGGGAAGTTTTTAAATCCAAATGATTACTACAGTGTACACACACCCAACCCTAAACCACACACACAAGTCAAAGTAATCTAGTGCATTTAAAACACAACCTAAAGAGAAGTATTAGCATAATGTTATATTAGAAAATCAACACTGAGTTTAAAAGCATGTAAGCAGCATTTTAATTATTGCATACTTAATTTAACTACTTTATATGGTGCTTTACTCTATTTCTGCTCCTTTAAAAGTCACACGAACAACTATGAAACCAATATGTTTGCATTCCTGTTATATCTAAAGCCATTCACTGTTTTTGTAAAGGGTTACTTGTTAAATAGTGATGTTAAATGTTACTGTTTATGAATATTTTTGCTATGGTATTTTGAGAGATTAGCAACAATTATTCTATTGGTCAATAATAAGTATCAGAGATCCTTGATTGGTCCCACAGCGGGGACATTTAGGCTACAGCGTTTCAGCCAGAAGCCAGTACAGACAAAATGCAAACATATTTAGTAGAGTACAGGGGTAACATTAAATAAAGAGGTAAACACACCTTAAAGAAAAAGAAAACACATGGAACGAAAAATAATATCATTATAAAGCAGTATTTAAAAAATTAAGTGAACATATACAAAGCAATGGTAGCTCAGTTAGCAGCCAGTGACAACTTTAACAGTGTGTAAAAGTGTACATTGCACATAGCACAGTCATCTCAACAATGGTATCGAGTACTAAAAGCATTAATAAAGTAGTATTACATAAATACTATACATTATGTATTGCACACAGTGTTTTTGCACAACAGAGTTGTTATAGTTAGTTGTGTGCGATGATCCACCATGAGCCGTAGTCTGACTGCTGCAGGAAGTCATTCCTATTGATGAATTGCTTTTAAAAATAGGCTTTAAAAATGGTCAGATATTCTATATAATGTTACATTTATTCTGCTTTTAGTTTGAATTATCTATTGCTTGCTACATGTTTTTTCATGTTATGCTTGTTGGAATATTATAACATGAGTAATGCATGACCA